GAATGTGATATAGTGCTTTCTGTTTTCCTTGTCAACTTTTCTGTTCGGTTCAGTTTAGTTTTAAAAAAATATGACTCACCGTTCCTCTCAATTCTATGTCACAATATATTTATTCAAGATAGTAGAGGAATCATTAAGGGAACTATTCGGTGTTGCATATTGACAATAGCATAAATGTCTCAAATGAAGTTTTTAAAAATATATTTCCAGAAAATATCTATACCTTCCCATTATGATGTGGGGATTGAGTTCCCATTACTATGAGGACTAGAATATCTCCAGGCAGTCTTGGAAATTCTTACCCCTGTCTACAGAAGGGGGAGATATGGTTATTCTCTGGAATAATATATTATTATTCTTACAAATATTGGAGCTTGCATTCCTTTGCTTTCTTTCACTTTCCTGTAGAATATTTCTGGAGCACTCTTGTTGACATCGCCTCTATCTTTTAAACAGTCAAGGACCTGAACCACTACCAAGCATTTGAAATAGCTTTTTAATCAGTAAATTACTGAATATTTTAAGGATACAATCTCTGAAAATCAAAGTATCTCCCCGAGAGGAGAGGATGAARAATTGACCAAACATGGCTGATCAATGCAGTGAAAATCCCTCTTTAAAAACTTGATAAAAAGGCCATGTTGAACAAAATAAGCAGTCAATAATTAATAATTAACTGCAAGACAAAGCATTGGAGGTATTCTTTCCTTCAGGGCAACAAAAATAACAAAATTAATGGACCTCATTCAGAATTCATTTTGTTTGCACAGAGAAGTGGTTGGTTTGCCTGTGGTTTGGATTCAGAGTAGGACTAAGGCTGACGCATGCGTGGTGATGATTAGTTCTTCGCAGGAGGTATTGGTATTTTTACACGTGTGTTGAGTGTGGCGCGCAAAACAAAACTAAGTTTTTTATACGTTTTTTAAACCTTATTTTGTACGATAMATCCCTTATTTCGTATACCAATATGAGCGAGCTTACTCCTGCTTCGATTAAGAAGCTAAAAGTTGCAGAACTAAGGTCAGAATTGTCGAAATTAGGCCTCGACACGAAGGGTACTAAACCAGTTTTGATGGAGCGACTCCTCGAAGCGACCTCAGATAAAGCCGAAGAAAATAATGCTGTAGAAGGCGGAACTGAAGGAGAAAACGAGACAGATAGTAAAGAGGAGTCGTCACAAGAAAGCCAGGATGAATCTGCTGCMTCTGCTAAGGAGGAAGAGTCTGTTGAAAGCGCTAAACCTTCCGAGGTAGAGAGCGATGCGAAAGTCGAAGATGAAAAGGTTGTTGAAGAAAAGCCAGATTCTGAAGCAGCTYCTCCAGAGAAAATGGAGACCAATAACGATGAATCTGCTGCCCCTGAACCACCTAAAGAAACTGCAAAAGAAGAACCTACTAGTAAACCTGAAGAAGTGGCGACAGAAAAACCAAAAGATGAAGATAAAAAGGTTGAGAAGGAAGAGCCGATGGACGAAACTAAAGAAGCTACACCGTCCAAACATGAAGAAGGTAATAAAAATGCCATTATAAAGTTTTCCTTTTTTTAATCCTGCCGTGATTTTATGCAATGAAATCTGCTCTCTGAAATAATAAAATCAAATCAGATCTCTAAAATTTCCTCGACGTTCGTAGAATTCTGGGAATTTCATGATTTATGAATTTAGGGTTAAGATTTGTCTTGTTTTACTGATCACAGCTAAAGTTTGAGTGGAAGCAATTTGTACTATGAATTATTTATCCTTTACACGGAACCTTGGGGAAAGAAAATGCCCAACTTTGATGTTGACAATTGTTATGGTTTACTTTGCAGAGAAAAGTAGTATAGTATTACGTAAGAACTGTGTTTGTTTATCATTACTTTAAGTAATGCTGGCTGCTTATCTAGATGAAGTTCATGCATTTTGAACCTAAAGTGAGGGTAAAACGGTGCGAATTTGCTCAATTTAGAGCTATTCCATGTTGGATCTTGCATTGAGTTGCTTTTTATTAACATGGTATCTAACACCAATAAGAGTTATTGGGTAGTTCCAGAAAATATCCATACCCCTATCACGGGTGGCATTTTGGCAAAGGAATTGGGGTGGGGTTTAGATGAAGAATTCCGAAGGAGATCATCTTGAACTAGAATAAAGGGGAGGGGAGAATCAGTTTTTAAACATTTAATATCAAGAGTGAATAAACCAGTAGTTTGGATCTCATCGTAGCCTTTCCATCGCATCGTAGTCTTTCGATCGCATTGTATCTTCGCATCATATAAACATGGACTTGAAAACCTAAGAATTCATTTGTTCCTATATGGTTCCAGATCCATTCCAAAAATCTTACAGTATACATGTAGGTAATAACATAAATCATAAAATTAAGCTGCCTTGAAAGATCTTTGGAACCTCCATGTTTTATAAACAATATTGGGAAGTTATGATAAAGCCTGCTTACCTAATATCAGTGATCTTATTTCTTTGTTTAGAAAGCAATTAAGATGTGTAATAATATGCAATTCCAGGGGTAGGGGGTAGTTCAATACTCATTTGCATCTTGAGGTTGAGTTGTAAACAGCTACATCGCTCTGTTATTCATGTATATTATGGTCTTTTTCATATTTTTCAACRAATAACTTCTGATATACAAATAGCCATGCTTCTGGAAAATCTGGGATAGTAAATGGGTATTGCTGGATCTACAAAGGAGAGCAGTTTCATGTGCAGAGGATTGGCCAACTCTCTTGACCTCTTGGCTGAGAATCCATGCCCAGGTGTAGCTCATATATCCTCCTTCACACTCTATTATATGAAAGTTTYGTATAGATTTTCAAAATATTTTATTACAAAGGAAATAAATCACACACTTGAAAAGTAAAGTTCGCAAAAAGCTTCAAAACAAGTTGAGGAAATCAAGAATTCTCATTGGATGTTTCACATCACCTGGAACATTTCCAACAATATCTGGGCCATGGGMCTCGAAAGATTGTAGAATTTCTGAAGGCAAGGGGGTAAGAAATTCAATGCCGCCCATGGTAGGGGTATGGATATTTTCTGGAAGTACCCATTACTTGTAAAGGAGGGATGTGTAGAGCAGGCATACAAAGTCCTGGTGTGGCCTGTCGATATCTTTGAATCTAGTTTTGTTGATAAAAAGTTTACAGGTTACAGTGTATTACTCAAAGAAAATGTGAATATGATCAGAAATGTGTATAATTATATGAAGCACTCATGCTTGAACAATTTGATTCACAAAAGTGTAATATATTGTTGCAAATGAAAAGAGCAACAGGAATAAATTGTAATATACCCAGCAAATCATATACAGTTTTCAGAAGTTATCATATAATGAGGCATAAAGAAATAGAGGCWCAGTCAAATCTTAATTCTTTTTCTATATTTGTTCAAATATATCATAACTATTTCCATTATGAGRAAGTCCAAGGATGGTTGATCAAAAAGATTTTATTTAAATCTTATAAACTCACATTGAGTTTATCGAACAGCGTCATGTACTTGAACAAACACAAGTATGTGAACAAACTGCAGTTTGATTACTGGGAACTGATGCTCTCTTAAAATACTGTTGATGGTTTGAATTGCAATTATTCACATTAGATGTGCAGAAATATGGCTGYCATGTCACGTAGTGGTGTTACAAAAAGAATCTATTCAAATGAGAAGTSGTTTGTTGAAGAATCCTTGTCGACCACAATGAACTGTGCGAATGCAAAGCTCGACTTCCAAACTCTGTTTTAGCAAAATTTCTGAAAATTTACTATGCCAATGTATGTATGTATATGTTACTTATATTAACTTGGTATTGAACTGCCAATTTGTGAATAGAATAGTTGTTAACATGGTTGCTATAAATTGTGGTTTTATTTCATTGACACCAGTTCATATGGTGGGWGTCAGTTGGTTGAAGTTAACAAGTGGTTAGGTCTTAGTTTCTTCTGTGATGTCAACCAAAGCTGCCACTTCAAATCTTTCAACATTATGTAAAGGGGATGTTTGTCTAGTATTTGAACTGACTCCAATGAAGGACTAACGTCCATAACATTCTTTACACTGTGTTTAAGTTTTCTTTTTATTCACTTGTATTCAACGAACTAATGCAGTCAGGTCACTATCATTATCAACAGTATTTTGTAATTTATGTTTATGCATGTTAGTTTATTATTTCCTTATAATACTGAGTTGTTACAAAGCTTAATATATATTGATATATAAAACATCATGAAAAAATTCTTATTTTTGTATTATGGAATAATGACAAAAATTGTATAGTATGATAGTCAGAAATTTTCAGAGAAAAATTGATTGTATATATATAATAATTGTATTTGATTTATATTACATATGTGAAAAAGTTGCCATTAAAATATATATGGCTATTGTCATTCATACAACTCCAATCATGAGAAATAAAAGTTGAATTCTAGCTTTTACCATGCAATACATCATACATGTACCAAGAAATCTAGAAAAATACTTGCTGATCCAGACAATAGCAAACGAAAAGGAATCTTTCTTTAAGGCTTTACTAGAGTTTGAACAAGTTTTAAAATTATGTATTCTGATGTTGGTAAGTTTTTGTTGTCTTCATAACCTTGTCTAATATTTCAGCCATTCAACCACTTTCTTGGAGGTCTAAGACGAGGTGTGCCGCTCACTGGACTACCAGAGTGACAAGCAACATGTACAGGCAGGTCCAAATCACGTAGGCAAGGTTATAATATCAAATCAAACAAAGTTACGCAAGAAACTACACTGAACAATGGATGGAAAACCAAGAGAATATGTTACCAAACTGAATCAATGTTGCAGAATTAATGGAAGAGAATTAATGAAGACATTAATCTCATTGAAAGACATCTAGGAATTGATCGTTAGATATAGCAACTGCAGGGTATCGCCTGGAGCGATATGCCAGTCATGTGGAAAATAATGAGAAATAAGCTATGACAGAGTCCTATAAAGATATACAAAGCACTTTGAACAAAGAGTGTTAATAAACATAGACCTAATTCTACAGCTTTTCATAAGCTGTGCGTAGTTCAAAAGTCACTAACAATTTATCCAGAATCTTAGTCATTATAGGCTTAGAAAATACCAAGTGATGGATATTTGTGGGAAACCATGAGGAGGGMAAGAGAAGAGTTTGAAGAAGCAGAATATTACTCATGTTCATTTTCTCATTTTATTTTAGACACATCAAAGGAACAAGGAGATGATCTTGATATATCCGTCAACATAAGGTAAAACTCTTGCATGTGTAATGTCTTGAGTAGATAGAATTTAATCAATCAATCTTTATTTAGTACCATAATTCCAAATAAACACAAGATAGAATAACGAAAAATAACATACTGTATCCTTGGACCTGGTTTTACGAAGGGTAGATGGTGCTATTCAACAGATAAATCCTTATCCAGTGGTTAAGTCGATGCTGTTATCCAATAAATTTGTCCACTGGATAAGATTTATCTGTTGGATAGTGCTATCCACCCCCTGTACAACCGGTTCCTGTAGTAGTCATAGGCAAGCAAGACAGTTCACATAATTTAATATGAAAGAAAAGATTGTTAGACATCTTGCAAAAATCAAGATAGTGACCTAACATTATCCAACCAGGGCAAAAAAATAAAGGATGCTTATTGTCCGAACATGATGACTGACCACAATGCACTAATCAACATGGGACTGGTCGATAGGACTGGCTTAAGAGGCATTTGCCCAGAGAAGTGCCAATCTTGGTTGGAAATTGTCTGTTGACAAGCTTTCTTAAATCATGCAAACATGGCTACAAGTTTTCCAACCACTCCTATAGATMTCGAGGAGCAGACATGGAGGATATTACACGGTGGCATGAAGATAAATTATGAAGTTTATCTTCAAGTGGCGAAAATATTTTATGTGAGCGCAACAAAGACTGAGATATTTTTTAACGAGAAAAGATAAACTTCATATCTTCAAGTCAATGTGTAATTTTCTTTTTATCATATTGTCATTCACAAACAAAAACTCGTTGCAATGTGCGTTAAAGTGAACCAGATAACATCAGGAGTGGCGTCATCGATATCTTCACATGTGAGGATAGAGAAAATACCTCACTGAAGTCCTGGATGAGTTCGTATGAAAAATACGAATGCCATATTTCCCAATAAAACACTAGTGTCTATAAAACAAATCACTTTATATTGCCTTAAGAATTAATGCAAATTTTGTATCTAGGAAAGTTAATACAAGKACCTTACCAATAATTGTCCTTTTCTTTCTTTTTCAGTAAAGTGGAAGAGGAACCTGAAGTGGAGCTTGATGATTCCCTGGTTGTTTTGGACAAATGTAAGGAAAATTGACTAGTTTGACTTTCCATTTCAACACCCTGAAAAAACCTCCGGGCTGATCAAAATCAGGGTATAGCTAGCTCACAGATGGAACTCTGATACAACCTCTGGTCTTGCGATACAATATTCTTGTTTTGTGATACTATAAACTTGTCTTGCAATATGATAAAACCTTAATATTCACGTATGTGTGAATGTTAGGGCATAGTGAACTTACTAATCAAACCCTAAAACAACCTCTGGGCTGATAAAAGTCATAGCATGGCTAACCCATAGATGGAATTGAAATTTAGCTTGTTTGATTTTATGGAGGGAGGAAAATCAAAACCTGGAGAAAAAACAAGGGAGAGACATGACAAACTCTCCTCACATGTCATTTTGAGTCCAGGAATATTGAAGCTGAGATCCCAGATGTGAGCAACTAGTGCATTTACGCTGTGCTACCAATGCTATGTTAGCCAGCATAATGACCAATAAATAATGTCTTTGTTTAGCGAGGGTGACATGACAGTAGCTCTGATAAATTTGTCACCCTCTTTTAACGTCTCTGAGTGAGATGGGACCAACGTTTTCCATGGTCATCTGAGCCACAGCAACAGTGTAACCATTTGCAAATATGATAAGTTTTCTTTTAGAGCGAAGGAAGCACCTTCTACTCAGTTATTTTAGTGTTAGTCTGGCCGAAGCTTGAACCACAACCTCCCACACAACAGAGCAATGTTCTTACCAACTGAGCTAACTGGGAGGCAGTTCGGAGGAATGTGAAAATAGTGAATAATCGTTTTTTTCTCTTCAGACAACAGTGATCTCCATGTTAAGATCAGCCCACATGCCCTGAGCCTTAGCACCCTGAAAGAAGAAGGCTTCACATACCTGTGTGGTGGTGCAAAAGCAACCTGGGGGGTCACCAGTGGCAAGGTTTGCTATGAACTCAAAGTGACAGAACTGCAAGAGGTAGACCTGCCAGATTCAGAGGAGCCAAAGCACTTTGTCAGGGTTGGATGGTCTGTGGAGGAAGCCAGTTTTCAACTTGGTAAGCAATCATCTTATCTGTTGGAGTGATTTGTCTGACAAATACACCAATCTAAATTTCAACCATTTCATTTCAACGAAGCTCAAAGTTGTTTCTATATATGTATTTGACCAATTACTGTACTATGTTGGATGTTCTCATTGTGTAGGTGAAGACACCCTCTCCTTTGGTTATGACAGCACAGCAAAGAAGTGTACCAATTCAGAGTTTACAGACTTTGGTCAGACATTTGGCAAAGATGATGTCATAACATGCTATCTGGTAATCATTACAACACTTATTTTATTGTTAAATAATGTTGTAGGCACTTTGCTGCTCAGTTCATAATTAGCTGTTCCAGATCTTTAGAAATGTGTTGTATAGGACGTTTGTGTGATGACGTCATTGGCCTCTACTACCACACTCCCTTGCACACTTTCTTTTGTTTATTCAATTAGCACCAATAGACCTATCCCGAATTCGCTTGACTGACCAGTGGATAAATCTATTGGAAAACAGCATTGACTTATCCACTGGATAAGGATTTGTCCGTTGGATAGGAATATCCATCCTTGGTACAACCGTGCCAGCTGTACAGAATGTTATTATTAGTTTGCCTTAGTCATTGAATAAATATTGTATGGATTGGTTTGCAGGATCTGGAGAGTGAAGCAAAGAAAATTTCCTTCAGCAAGAATGGTGAAGATGTTGGYGAAGCATTTGACCTGCCTGAAGAAGTGCAAGGAAAGGCTCTCTTTCCTCATGTACTAATAAAGAATACTGAATGCACCCTGAACTTTGGTTCACAGGTATGTATTTTAAGAATAAAACACGGTAGATTTTACCATGCTTTGTTTAGTAATACAGCATGCAGAAACTGACAAAAGCAYGAAAGAAATGTGAACAAAAGCACTGAGCCGCATTCTGAGAAAATATAAATCCATTGTAGTTTTTAATGTTGTTTTCTCATACAAAGTTGCCTGCTCGCACAGATGGTTTCAGCAACCATGCTTTGTTTACTTAATACAGCACAGTTCTCAACCAATCAGAGTGTATCAAAGCTACAAATTAAATACTCAATAATCAATATGATAATCAATATGATAAGCCAAAAGTGTGTTTTCATCTTTGATATCTAAGTTATTTCATCTAACCATTGGGTTGTAGGATGAACCTTGGTTTGCAGCAAAGGAAGGATTCACTTTCATTCAGAATTGCCCTGAAGACTCCAAGGTCCATGGAGCAAGAGGACCAGAATCAAAACAGGACTGTGAGGTCAGTAGTGAGAGTGCTGCCAACACTATAGGACTTTAAGTCATGAAGTATTTCCGGGTCCAACCACACAAAAAGATCACTAAAACCTTGCCAAAACTTATTCCCAGAATTTATTCTCACTTTCAACAATTAGATACATAATTATAAACAGAAAATCCTGCTATGAAAAAAAAAATTAGAAAAATATCTGTAGACGTAATTATAAATGTTTTGGACCTGGAAATTGTTTTTTGTTCGAATTACGCCACACTTAACAGCTCCACAGTACATAATGTAAGATGTGTAGTTCCAGAAATCATCCATACCCACCCCACAGAGGAATTTGGAATTTCCGAAGAGTAGGGGGGTCAGAGACAACAATAATTACAGAGTATGTATGGAAGAAAATTGGAATTTCCAGGGGGTAGGGGGGTATCAAACATTTTATAGGCGCCACTCAATCACAATGAATTGCAGAAAATCTTTAGATGTTTTATTTTTAGCTAACTCTGTGTGAACTAATAAACACTGGCCCGATACTTTAGAACTCTTTTCCTGATAGCAACAGTAGAATTGATACTCTAGATCTATTTAAGACATAACTTTAAACATTTTTGTTTTGAACAGCATATCCATATTAATTCCATATTTATTTTTCTTTCATAGTTTAAATATACATATRTATTTATTCATATCTAAATACATATACTA